TTAATCCCCCCCCCCCCCCCCCTCCTTTTACATACAAACTCATTGTTTTAGAGCTTCATATATTCTTTTAATATAATAATAATTATTTGAATTAATAACTTGTACTAGCACTCCCTAAACCAGGATAGGGCGGAGCCATTCTGGAAGTAGTACTTCCTATCAAGAATTTTTTCAGTTGAGAGTTTGATTTCGAAACTTTTGATTAAAGGAGAAGCAAACCCCTTCACTACACCACATTCTTTGATGGTTATGCTTTCAAAAGGGTTGATTGCCTTTTCTCTTCTTCTTCTTCTTCTGTTTTTCACTTGGTATTTGTTATCCATATTAAGACTCGAGAAAAATTAAATTAATACATTGCAAGGCTCATTTTTTAGGACCGTTCCCAAAATAATTTTTTCTTTTTTCAAGATGGCCCCATTTGAGGGTTTGTATAGCAGCCGATATAGATCTCGGATCGGTTAGTTTGATTCGGTTGAGATGAACTCTTTGAATATAGACTTGCTTAAAGATGCTATAGAGCATGTCCGTATGATTCAGGGTAAGACTATATTGACAATTAAGAGTCGACAGAAGAGGGCTCGATTTTTATTTTCATTTTTTAGATTAGTGCTACTAAAACAAAACATATTAGTAAATTATTGACAAATTTTAGCCAAGTAAGCTAATTTTTGTTTTTTTTGAGTGTTGTTGAAAATGTGCAATATAGATTTATTCAATTATTCAATTAAAAGGATATCCACTATCTCCAATTTGATTGAATCATTTTTGTTTTATCCTCAACTTGTAATTATTTTAAAAATAAAATAAAATTGGGAAGTCTCGTCAACGACGACTATACATAGTGATAAATCTTTATGTGGAAATATTGAATCTTATTTATTACGTCTTTTTTAGGTTGTGGGGCTGGATTATGACATCAAGTGGAATATTTTAGTAGTTCGGTGTATTAAGCTATTGCTATGTATAAAGTATGAGAAAGAACGTTCGATAAGTGACTGATTCAAAAAAATTTATTAGGGCGATTAAAAATCTAATAGAAAAATCATATAAAGAAATCAATATGAATCAACATTTAATATATTACAAACATAAAATAATTTTTGACCTAACATAACAACTTACATGATCCATTACTTGTGGTGTAAAATAAACATTAAATATTTGTGTGAGTGTATAAATTACTTCATTAAGGCTTAAAAAGTAATTTTACAATGAAATTGTTTTTAATTATATAAAGTGATCGTTATTTTTTGAACGATTAAAACAACGTATCACATAAATTGAAAAAAAAATATAATTTTCCGACAAAGAAGTTCGCATGAATCCCCGTTAACTCTAACGATGGGACTATAAAACTTAGTCTAATAAGAAAATAATAGGATTATAATAAGCTTATTTATTATTTGAGAGTGTATACTGAACTACTAGTAATATTTACCAACAATAAGTTATAAATCTAATAATTATTAGTTTTTTTTTTAATTTCTTATTCGGGTATTCTGTATTGAAGTCTCCAAATAAAAATTGCTCCCTATCAATAATTTTTTCATACATAAAAATCGAAATCAAAACCTTTAATTAACCTAGACATAATTTATGGCACGATAAAAAGTAATAATAGGAAATGAATCTTAGAAATTCAATTTCAGATTCTCAAGATCGATGACTTTGACTTTTTATACATACATACAAGTCTCCCAATAACTTTTGTCTTTTAACTTTTGCTTCCGTGTTTGATATCTAAATTATTGGAGTAGCGATTTCATAAAATGAAATATAACAAATAATTTGAGACTTATTTTGTCATCCATAAGATGGAAACTCCCCCCTTAGTCACAAAAGATTGTTTGATGACTTGTCAACATGGACATGAAAGTTCATTTGGTGTTTGAAATTATCATTGGAGTCCGACTATTCAAAATTTATGCCTCATAGGATTTCATTCGAAAAAAAGTATTTCTTACCAAATTTTTTTTCATATGTAGAGCTCAAACATGAAATCTCTAATTAAGGAAAGAACAATTCGTCATCCACTGCACCATATTCTTTGACAGTGACCAAAAAATACTTTTAAAAGGTTTAATTATTATTAGGAATAATAAGACTAGAAATATATTAACAAAGGTTGTGGTGGAGTGGTAAGTACTCTTTCACCTTTGACCAAGAGGTCTCGGGTTTGAGTCCCCTTGAATATGAAGTCTCATTTGTTAGAGAGAGTTTTACCTCCAAACGTGGGACTTTCCTGTACCGGACATCAGACGGAAAAAAAAACTAGAAATATATCAAAAGGGGCAATTTCATTATTGGTCTTCTGATAGAAACCATGGGTTCCACTAGTTTCATATTCACTCATTCATTTGAACAAACTCTTTATTCCCTTTTTAAATTAAATTAATTTTGGGACAAGCACTTTGTTTTCATTATGGTACTTCTCTTTTAAACAAACATAAAAGGGGAAAAAAACTCTCTTTTTGTTTATATATATTGATAAAGTAAATAATTTTTATACGATCAATATAATTTAATTTGCACGTTGTTCTCTTAATTTTGAAGTTACTAATTTTACTTATTATGAATAACTACCCATAATTAATTTGATATGATAATGTAAAGTATTATAAATTGAACTCTTTCTTTTAATAGATGTTTCCCCTTTTCTTCTTCTCACCCTCTTCTCTATCAATATTACTATATATTGATAATGAAACCATAAAATTTAGGTAATCTTAGTAGTTTTCGCTCTCGAAAGATCTATTATGATGGAAGAGTTAGATCAGACTCTAACATATATATATATATTACACGAAAAAGGAAATAAATCTTAACCTATGTTACAAAGTGAAGGCGGGATATATCCACTATATTACATATTTGTACAAAAGAGTTTTGATGAGAATCATGAGTAGTCACATCTGTTATATACAAATAAAGATGTTAACACCAAAACATGAGCGAGATTATTAGTTATCATCGACATAAATTAGTTTTTCTGACGTTTGAATTTGAAATTCGAGACTTTATCATTTTCTAACTTCATTGAAGCTCTATTAAAGAAAGCGAAATAAATTCATTAGAAATAAGTAAAGACCGTAAAGTTTTGGACGGGTTTCCCAGATTAACTAACACGTCAATAGTCTCAACTTGTTATTTTTTAAAATTTGGAATTGTGTGTTTGATGTGTTGAAGTTTGTGCTAGTACAATAATGGCAAATATTTGTCAACTACTCCCAATTGACATTTGATATTTATTAGTTAAAAAAATAGGAGGGAATAATAATGACTACTACTAAGTTACAAATTGAGTGATGGACAAAATTGATCACTAATATGAATATGTATTTCAAAATCAAATATAGTAGTGGACTTTCACTACTAAAAAAAAATTGATCTTTGGAAATTGAGTTAGTTAAAGAATATTATTAAAAAAATTAGGCTAAATCCAACTGCCAAATCGATTATTCGATTGATTTTGGGTCTTTTTTTAAAATAGTAGTGTTTGGCTTTAGCTTTAACAATCTAGTTGTTGGTCTTATACCCAATTGTATAAGTTTTTATAAATTTATAATGTGCTAGTTGAATTGACACCAAACTTTCTGATGTAATTGAGACTAAGATTTATGAAATATCTGAGCATATAAAATAGAATTAATTAGTAGATTGGTATTAGTGGATCAGTTAATGATGATGATTGATGAGTATATTCTTATGGCCCATCATGTTTTTTTATGTTTATTTTGTGCTTATCCTTAATTATTATGCTTTCATTGGCCATAGCCAATTAATAATTATTAAAGAAGAGGAAAAAATCTTTTAAAATGAATTAATTTAATATAAAATAAAAAACTAATATAATTGAAAATTATTGTTATTTTTTTGGTATACTTTCTCCGATTTCATTGTTACCACGGGTTTTACATAAACGATCATAGGGTATTGAAAGGATCTCAAAGATCCATCAAAGTATGAAAGCCAGGATCTTTCACAAAACGAATTGTTGTTCAAAAAGTGCATAATTGCATGGATAAATTCACACTAACCCATTAATTTGTGATCTAAATTCGAAATTTTTCAGGGGAGATATCGATATTTCTCTATATTTAATTGTGATAGTCTTATCTAATAAAACATTCAAGTTGTCACACATGTACAATTGGTTAATTTCTAATTCATTTCTTGGTTGCATATGGCAAATTCATATATATATATATATATATAGAACAGCCTTTGTCACTAAGTTGATTGAGGATTTCAACTGCAACATCAACCTTACCATCTTTGCACAAAGCCGTGAGCAATGTATTATAAGTCACAATATCAGGGTAACAACCCCTACTCACCATAACTTCCAAATACTCAATTGCTCTATCCATTTTCTTCTCTTTGCAGAATGCATGAAGCAATGGATTATAACTCAAGGAGTTCGGCGTACATCCATACTTAGGCATCTTCTCCAATAAATCAATCGCCCGTCCCAACAGTCCCTTCCGACATAAGAAATTGATCAAGATGTTAAACGTGACAACACTAGGAGAACAGCCTTTTCTAACCATATCAGCCAACAGTTTCTCGGCATCCATCCACCTACCTGTACTACACATACTACGCAAAATTATATTGTGGGTAATCACATTAGGTTGGCAACCATAAGATGGCATATTATTCAGAAACTTGATTGCTTCGTTCAATCTCCCTTCCTTACAAATCCCATTTATAAGAACATTATAAGTTACTACATCAGGTACACATCCTTTACTCCTCATTTCATCCAAAAGCTTCATCGCCTGCCCAACACCACTTTCCTTACACGTTGCTTCGATCAAAATTGTATAGGTAATCACATCAGGGTAACACTCTTTCTGCAACATACGGTCAAGAACATGCATAGCTTGTTTCAATTTCCCACTATCACATAAGCTGCGCAAAATAGTATTGTACGTGACAACATCAGGTGCAACACTCATTCGATCCAATACCTTCAATGCATTATCAATTTCACCTGACTTACAATAACCACTAATCAACACATTGTAAGTAATAACATCAGGAACAGCCCCAGAATCCTCAAGAATCTCCAATACTCTAGTAGCCTTCTTCGTTTGCCCAATTCTACAAAACCCACGAATCAAACTCGTACATGGTATAATATCAGGTATATCCCCACGATACACCATACTCTCAAGATGCTTAAAACTTTCTTCTAATTCCCCATTTCTAACCAACCTACGAAGATAATTATTACTCTCAAATTCTTCAATATTTTCAGATATGCTCCCATTTGTCTTTTTCTCAACACTTGATAACCTACCATTCGTCGTCCCTCCTAAAATTTCGATTCTTGAAATAGCAAAAACCTTATTTTGTCTCTGTTTCCTCAACTGACCCCCGAGCAAACTGTTCTTACACCTCCTATTACTACTCCCAAATCCCCTTTTCTCAACACTCGATAAAGTTTCAATTTTTGAAATAGAGAAAACCATATCTTGTCTCTGTTTTCTCAACTGACCCACAAGTAAAGAACTGTTCTTGAACCTCCTATTATTACAACAATTAACAGTGATTTCCTTACGAGTAGAGTGAAATGAGCAAAACCCTTCATGGGTTTGCTTCGTTGGTACTATTAACTCCATAAGAACAAGTTTACAACAACAACAAAAAACTAGTAACAGTATTCACTAAATACCGGTCATTCTACACTATATGGGCAAAAAAAATTCTTTTTTCTACTGCAGAAGTGTACAATAGTCGTTGTGTTTGTCTATATGAAGATTATTAGTAAGCAAAAAGATGAAAAAGGAAGCTTACTCGGAGAAGAAGAAGAGCAACAGAGCTGCCGGTTTTTTTTTTTGTTCTCCTTTCTTATCCTCTCTGGTTTTTTGTCTCTTTGACAGTGAAACAAAAGCCCAAAAGAGTTTTATTGGGCCTCAAACTAATAGTATTTTTGGGCCTTAGGCCCACACTGATTTTTCAATAGTGAAGAATGAAGATGATTTGTTTTCAAGTTTTTGCACGGATTGTCCCTCAAATGGACTGGTTTTTAATTTTGTATAATTTACATAAATTTTATAGTGTTAAGATTTAATTATATATATATATATATTATTATTATTATTATTTTTTTTTTTTGGGAAACCTTGTAGACAACTTTATCACCTTTCTTTGAGAGACATGTTGAGAACCTAATTTTTGTATAATATTTGTCAATTATTCAAATTCGTGTTAATCCATCACAATTCAATATTCTTAATTAAATATATGTTCTTGGAAAATACTTTTCAAAAATAATAGGAAAGTGGACCATTACTACAGGGATGAACCCAATCCAGAATATAATTCACGTGGAAATTATATTAGTTTAGTGTATACACCCGGTGCGGGTAAGTTTTTTCCATTTTTAAATTATAAAGGTTGAAAATGGATAATATGTGAATTTTACCATGTCTAATCATTATGGATTGAAAGGTAATATTAAGAATCGAGATAGTTATAAAAGAAAATAATTTATTTTTTAAAATACATATTTTCCATCCACATGTTTATTGTTATACCAAACACAAAAACCTTTTTTTTTCTTTTCTCATTTTTATAGAAGGAAGTAATATAGTTTTGAAGGGAAATTGATAAGACCTTTAATAGTGGAAATAAATAAATAGCAAAAAGAGGAAAAAGAGAAACGAATAAAGCATCAAGTTATTAATGAAACTTCCTACAATATTGTATACGCATTTGAATAAACTCAATAATTTCTATACAAATTTTAAAATTTATTTTAAAATCCATCAAGTATGATATATACAAAATTGTGAACACTATGAGTAAATTGAGATATAAATTTAATGAAAAATTCAAAATTCATATCCGAAGTTTAAATCTTAACTCTAACTTTGTACTACAACTTATTAAAACAAATGATTTTGCAAAAATGTGTCATTGTCGATTAATTCTATACTTTAAAATGAGGTATACTTTGCCTTTTTGGGGTATATGCTTTTGTCTTTATCCACTTACATTTATATATCTTCTTAATTTAAAAAGCCCATTGATGTTACATTTAAGATTAATTTAACCAAAAAAACCTACTCCATTTGTCTCAAAATAAGAATTCATATTTGTTAGATATTCAAAATCAAATATGGTAGTGGACTTTCACTACTAAAAAAAGAGGGGTAGAATCGACTTTCGGAGGTTCGTAAAATTAGTGCTTGTTCATTTAAAATTTTTTTATTTTTTTTTTTGCAAAAATAAAAAAGAAAAAGGACGTTCGAGGTCGGTATTTTTGCCAAATAAATAAATAATATACACTTCGGAATTTTTATTTTTATTTTGAAAAATCAACATTTTTTATTTTTAAAATAAAAACTCGGTCAATTCACACTTTTTCATTTTTTGACGTTAAAAAATTTGAACTTTGGAAATTGAGTTCGTTAAAAACTAATTTTTTTAAAAATTAGGCTAAAACCAACCGCCAAATCGATTATTCCATTGATTTTGGGCCTTTTTTTAAATAGTAGTGTTTGGCTTTAGCTTTAACAATCAAGTTGTTGGTCTTATACTTGGTGTATAAGTTTTTATATAATATGCTAGTTGACACCAAACTTAAGGATGTAATTTGAGGCTAAGATGTATGTTCTCCTCCATAAAATTATAAATATATATGTATATATATATATATATATATTGGAGTCGGACCTAACTCCTCCGTCTTAAAAATGAAACTTTTGGGAAAAAAGAAAGTTATTAGTCTTACAGGTGTTGTTATTATTATTGTTATGATTATCTAAAAGGGCAAGACTATTAAAGAAAGTATCTATTCAATTAGTGTCACTCCCACTTGATGTATGAAACTTACATGCATTCTAACTCTTATAGTATCATTAACTAATGAGTAATTCTGAACAGAAACCTTAATGATATCACAACAATATACATATACTCTTATAGTATTATTGACTAATGAGTAATCTCTGAACAAGAAACCTTAATGATGTCAATATAGCACATATATACTGATTTAGTATCAATTAAACGAAATTATCAGCCTTAATGATATCAATACACCATATGATACTAATTAGTATCACTTTAAGAGAAAATTATCAGCCTTAATGATACCAACAGTTAGCCAGTGGAGCTGTGAACTTTGCAGGTACTATAGCTTGTAACTCCTCTTTGATTTTGACAAGCTTTCATGTGGATGTTTTAAAACAGGAACTGACCTATGGATACTAGACTCAGGGGTTATACATCATATGACTTTCAACAAAGAGCACCTAATATATATCATCACCCCACCATATCATATGTTAGTGAATCTACCTAATGGATATAAAGTCAGTGACTCAAATTGAAAATGTAAAACTTGTTGCTGGTATCACACTGTATAAAGTCCTTTTTATCCCCTCTTTCAGATACAATCTTATTTCAATAAGTTCCTTAGCTTTTCATCTCAATTATCTCACTTTTTTTCTCTAATTCACCTTGTATGCTGAAGGGCCCTTTGGAGATTGGTAGAGTACAAAATAGACTTTATCTCTTTTGCTCAACTTGTCTGTAGAAGTATAGTCACAACAATCCTACCAATCTAGTCTGGTTGGATAGATTATTTGCAGAGCTCACTGTTTTCCATATGTTAAAAAGAAAAGAAATTTAAGACTTAGTTTCAAAAAAATCAATTTAACTTTTTAAGAAATACCAATTCTTTAAAGAATCGCCACTTAATTTTTTAAGAAAAATCAAGAAAACGTAGAATTTTCAAAGACTCAAACAAAAGAAATCATTTGAAATACCAAAAGGGGTCCGGGGTTCAAGTTTACACTTCAAAAAGGTGTTAGGTATTTGAAGTGTACACTAACACGTGCTTATCCTACGACTTGACTAAGTATTGACTAATTTTGATAATTAATTAAGTCATACACAAAGGCTATTTTAAAATATTACTTAAAAGGAAATAGATTTAACATGATTTATTGAGAAAAAATAATTTTCCATTAATAAGCAACTAAGTAAATAAATAATTAAATAAAACTAACATACTTCAATTAACATAACAAAAGAAAGACCATCTTTTGGAGACTTAATTAAATTAAAACCAAAACAAGTGTTAGGGAGTTAATACACAAATAAACAAATAATAATAAAAGAGGAGGCAAGTCAGATTTGGGCTTTTGGCCCAACCTGTCCTAACTCTAAAAAAAATTTCCCAAAATAACGGGCTATGACCCATTTAAATCAAAATCAGCTGCTGGACATTTTTGGGGCTTTTGACCCATTACTGCTGCCTGGACCTTCTATTTTATTCATCTCTTTTGGGCTGCTGCACTAGAAAACTTGGGCTTTTGGCTCATTTATGATGTATATCATTTGTATCCCAACTGTATACTGCCGTATATCAGAACCTGAAACCTATACATTGATGTGTAATTAGTGTATACAGTCCTTTTTTTGGACTCTAAACCTGCAATCTGTCTTCAACCCTGTATTCCTGCATTTTGACATGTATATCAATGTATGCTAAGTGTATATAGTCCATTTTTGGACTTTCGAGCACTTGTAAATTAAACTCCCAGCCCTGTACTTCGATTTTCGACTCAAAAAGAACAAGATTGAGCCTCCTTATCTCAAAATGAAATGCACAGGGAAAAATGAAGGAGTTCAATGGACTCACTCAAGGGTTCAGGCAAGAAAATAAAAGAGAGAGTAATTAATAAATGACTAAAGGAATACTGACTTAAATATAATTATTAATCAAATTAAACAAAAGATATTTAAGCAAAATTGATTGTAAGAAGACATGCTTTGTTTGATTGGTTTTTTGTTTTTACTTTTGTGAAAAAAAATGTATCTCTAACGGAATACAAATTCGAGGAGGTACGATTTTTGACAACAAATTGTACTGTATGTTGTTTTTTTCTTTGGTTGTTTTTTTTTTTTTTAAATAAATTGGATCCCTAATCGAAAGTTATATGATAAAAGAGAAAGAAGCAAGAAACACGACGATTTTTTATTCTAGTGAATATATAAAAGTGAGATTTGTGAATGGTTTATGCAAGAAAAGAGAAGTTGTAACAAAGGTTAGTTACACATTCTTGATTACCGTTATAGTCTCTCTCTATATATATACTCCTTACTTCTTCAAATCTTCCAGTTCTACTTCTTCAAGTCTTGATTACCGTTATAGTCTCTCTCTCTCTATATTCAAATCTTCATCTTCTTGTTCTTCTTCTTCTTCCTCCTATAAGCTAAGTTTAGCATGGATTGTTGGGCTTGCATGAAATACAACCTAGGCCACATGTCACGGACTTAGGGTCTTACTAAAGCTCCGTGCGGCACTTGACAACTTACTCACGAATCTTTCACGATCTTGTAAGCTCAAGTAAGCCCTTTGAAATTAAGATCGCTAAGAGAATGAAAAGGAAGACTTAGAGAATTTTGGAAGAAGGCTTATATTGCTTATAAGAAAGCTTTACAAGTTGTTGGATTTCTTGCTTCAAGCTTGGATGGTGCCTTGCAAATAAGGGGCACCTCTATTTATACTACCTCCTAGGGACTAAAATGTAATTAATATTTACTTTACAAGTCCCTAAACTATTTACACTTTGGTCCCTCCCTAGAATCTTCTACTAATTCTAGGAAATTCTAAAGCTTTCCAAGAAAATATCTAGTCCCTCTTCTAGAATTCTCTACACATTCTAGAGAATTCTAAGGCTTTCTTGAAAACTATCTAGGACCTTCAATTGCCTTTTAAGTTATTCTAGGGAATTCTCTAGCCTTCTTGAATAATCTAAAGGGTTCTTAAGTCTTCCGGAAACCTTTCCACAACTCTAGACCCTTCCGTCCCCATTCAGACGCAAAATTTCATTGTGATGCGGCGGGACTTAACACTTTCCCCCACCTATTGATGCGAAGACCTCGTCGCATTACCGCTACATCGTCATCCGAGCCTTGTGCGTACGCGACCAATACTCCATTGACTCAATTAAGGCCCTTGCGCAACGCCTTCAACGCCTTCCATATCGCTTCTAGCTCAGACTTATGACCTACCTCCTTCCTAGGAGGCACACGCCTTGGCAGCTTCTTTAGCATCACGACATTGTTCTCTTTTGGAACCTCTTTCGTGCGTGGTGGCAGGGACCTTTTTGCACCATTGTCTTTCTTCGAACTTGCAATAGTGGCATTAAACGTCGGCTCCTTCTTCTTAGGGCTTCTTACAAGTCGCATAGCAGTTAGACGTACTTGTCCTTCCGTCTTCGGTACCTTGACCAGGGGAACCATGCATGATCTTCCTTGCTCCATGACTAGAAGTCGTTGGAGGTAAGGGTCGATCACCGCGTGGCACTGCTGGAAGAACTCTTGCCCAAGAATTATGTTAAAGAGATCTAAAGGAGCGACAGTGAAGTTGGTCTTACCTTGCCACTCGCCTAGCGTGATGCTCACTCCATACGCGACTCTGCTCACATGAGTCGGTAGTGCATTGACCGTCTTGAGTTGGGCGTTACTTGGATTGTAACTCAACCTCAACCTCGTTGCTACCGTCTTGGTCATGATATTGACTTCTGCACCCGTGTCGACCATTGCACAAACGGGTCTTCCATTGATCATAAGGTCGACATATTGCGCGCCGTATCCTCTTGGCTTCTCTGGCTGCTTCGTGATGGCTCCGCATAGTCCTATCAAGCCCAACTGCGTTGTCCCTTCGCCTTGTCCTTGCTCCTGGGCGTCTTTCTCCTTCCGCTCTTGTAGGATGGCACCAAGGCTCTTCAGTTCAGGGCACCTTGCATAACTATGCGGCCCGCCGTATATGTAGCAGCTACTTTTGTTGGCAACCTCTATCTTCTTCTCTGTGTTGTCATGACGTCCAGACTTTTTGCCATCAAAATTTTAGGTGTCATGTTTCTTGGGATGTGGCCGCTGCTCCTCGCCTTCGCCACAATCTCCCCCACCATGGTCATGACTACCTCTCATCTTTTCTTCTCCGGTTCGGTTGGGTTTCTCATGCCTGAAGTCTGTAAAAGTTTGGCCTGCGTGATGGCTTCGTTTATGGTCCTGACTTGTCGACGTTCCAACTCCGTCCTGGCCCAATTTTGTAGCCCATCCATGAAGTGGAACAACATATCATCATCCGTGATGTTAGGAATTCGAAGCGTGAGGGTAGTGAACTCTTGCACATATGCGCGGATACTGCCCGTTTGCTTCAGCTCCCTAAACTTGCGTTTCGCCTCATAGATGACGTTGTTAGGGAAAAAGGCTTTGTTGAACTCTTCCCGGAGTTGCTCCCAGGTGTTGATAGTGCACGTCCCCTTCCCTATCTCGGCTTCCTTGTGCCTCCACCATAGCATGGCCATCTCCGAAAGATACAGTACAGCGGTGTTGATCTTACTCTTGTCGCTGTTCAGCCCGTTGCACTTGAAGTGATTCTCCAAATGCCAAAGGAAATTCTCCACCTCTTGCGCGTCACAGACGCCTTTGAACATAGGTGGCTTGGGAGCCTCGATCCTGGCCTCCTTATCTCGGTCAAGCGATGATGATCCTCCAGCTGCCACACCTTCCTTGAGTGATTTCATCTCGGCCTTCATGGTCTCGATCGTGCTCAACGCCTTCATGAGCCAACACTCCAAGGAAGTGATAGCCTCCTTCATCTCAAATTCGGCCTGCTGACGTCATTCCAACTCCTTGCGGATGTTTTCAGTCTCCTCAAGGGTGAAGTCTTCAAGAGTTTTGAACTTGCCATCGGCCACGTTCATGCGCCGGCCTAATATCTCCACGGCCTGCCTCGCCACTTCAACCCTTGTGACCCACTCTTCTCCTGCGGTGACGTCAATGGCCTCCTCGCCAAGTTCATCGTCACTTGCCTCGGTGGTCGAGGGTGGATGAGATGTTAGCGCCTCATTTGGTGTGGGATCTAGCAGCATTTCCTCGTTACTTTTTTGGTCCTTCTTTCCCTTGTGGTTCCTCTTTCCACCATCAGGATGGACGTTGGTGGTGCTAGTGGCGTTTACGTCCCCTTCGGTTGCCATTTCCTTAGTGCAAACCTTCGCTCTGATACCACTTTGTCACGAATTTAGAGTCTTACTAAAGCTCCGTGAGGCACTTGACAACTTACTCACTATTCTTTCATGATCTCGTAAGCTCAAGTAAGCCTTTTTAAACTAAGATCGCTAAGAGAATGAAAATGAAAGACTTAGAAAGATTTGGAAAGTTTGGAAGAAGGCTTGTATTAAGCTTGGAAGATTGCTTACACTTGCTTCAAGCTTGGATGGTGCCTTGCAAATGAGGGGTACCTCTATTTATACTACCTCCTAGGGACTAAAATGTAATTAATATTTACTTTACAACTCCCTAAACTATTTACACTTTGATCCCTCCGTAGAATCTTCTACTAATTCTAGGAAATTCTAAAGCTTTCCAAGAAAATATCTAGTTCCTCTTCTAGAATTCTCTACACATTCTAGAGAATTCTTCTAAGGCTTTCTTGGAAACTATCTAGGACCTTCCATTGCCTTCTAAGTTATTCTAGGGAATTCTCTAGCCTTCTTGAATAATCTAAAGGGTTCTAAAGTCTTCCAGAAACCTCTCCACAACTCTAGATCCTTCCGCCCCTATTCAGACGCAAAATTTCATTGTGATGTGGCGGGACTTGACACACATATGCCAGGGTTGCATATTGTCAATTGTATTCAGTCCTTTAAATGATGATCTGGGGAGATGTTTAACGATTTTAGCAGAGAGATCATATTGAAAATGTAACAGCAACCGATCTCAGAAACATACTTCTTCAATTGAGTGAAGAGGAAAGATTAGTATATATTCAACACCTTCTTCGAAGAAGTACAGGTGACTTTCTTGATATCGCTTATGTTCTTGGTTTTATAGAAGGCGATGCGTATCCAACTAACTTGCAATTATTTGTTTTTATAGGTTTCTTCGACACAGCAACTTGCTTTATAAGGCCAATGATCAGAAGGGTTTTGAATTGGCTATTTCCTGAGATGCAACAGCCACCAAACCCTGCTCTTGATATTATAGAGATATCTTCTGATGTTATAGAAGTGAATGAAGGTGTTGCGGGAGTAGTCAACCAAATTGGACAAGAAGAGAGCATGGCTAGTAATGAAGTAGATGATTCTGATAGCAGTGGCAGCAGTTCAAGCCACCGCCATGATCCCACCTACTATCCCGGGCAAACATAGAATTTATTTTCATTGTTTAGTCTGTCATTAAACATGGGGAGAGGTTGAACTTTGTAACAAACAATTGGGAAAAGAATGTATCCCACTTAAATACATTGGAAACTCTCTACAAACAATAGGGGGGAAAAATTATCCCAGTTAAATTCATTGAAATTGCAACTGAATTCTTGTCTTTATTGCCTTTCCATTCTTCTTCTGCAATTTGTTTATTGAGCATTTTGTTCCCACATCATGGCCTCTGCAATTAGTTTGTAGTATATCTTTGGCTTGTAAGGAGTTTCTAGAGGAAGCAGAAAGTTGAACTCATGCGGTGTTATCATGTGAAGTGTTTGAAATTATCTTTTTGATTTTGAGCATTCTTTTCTGATCCCGAGATCATTAAATTATAGGGAGAGTTGTACGATTTGGGTGAGTCACTCTAGGATGAAAAGTTTTCTCTGCCCAATGAACCCTCTGTAGAGGATGAACTCAGCCTTGGGAGACTTGTTTCCTGTTGGGAAAGCATATAATCTAGCTAAAATTCTAGAGGAAGCTAGAGAAGATAAAATAATAAAATAAATGCACCATTGATACTAGTACAATAAGATCTCTAAGAGAAGACATGTGTTGATAATAATGAGAAATATACTTCAACTTATGATATTTGAGCCTATTTATGCATCCGGTGATTTCAGCTATTCAAGTTGTTTGGTCTATATCTATGATTTTATAGCTACTTGGCTTTCTTGTAATGTCCCTTCATTTTAAAAATTTACAGTCTGTATGTCTGTCTGTGTCCATGTCCCACGCCATGTCTATACTACTAAAGCTATATTCAAGAATGAGATCCAGGCAATATTGCAACCACTTTCCAGCCCTTTAAATATCATAATTATGGACTTTTTGATCTGGATGGTTCTAGATTGACTACCGACTGAAAGCGTTAGATCAAAACTTAAACTTGGCCAACACTGAAAATGAAGACAGGACATATAAATCTATAATTTTATTAATCATTTTCCATTTAAGGCCTAGTATTCTATTATTTGCATTTTAATTGTGAATTAAAAAGCAAAAATGGATATCCAAACTTTAAGTACAATACTAGTTATAATCGGGTAAATAATCAATTATTTGGATATTAGTTCAAAAACAAGATTTTTCTCATATAATATCCTAATGTATATCGACAGATGCATAAAGCTTTCTGAATAGATAGTTAGATACCTCTGATTTCATTTCCATGTTATTTTATTCCATGTTCTCTTCTTCAGTATAGAAGGGCATATCTTTGGATTCATTATCCCTACGATTTCAAACTGATTCTTTTTACTATGGATGGAAAAAAAAGAAAAGAAGAAACAGAAATGTTGAAAAGTAAGGAAGAAGTTGTGTTCTAGTGACAAACCTGATTGATGTCAGACATTTGATCTCCAGCTGCAGAAACATAAGAAATTGAATCAGTGATAGTAGGTAAGGCCAAAAGCTGAGATTATTATGTACTCAGGTGTGGTATAAGGTAACATGTTCCTGAATAAATATAGGCCAAGAAGAATTGGCAGAAAATTTTCAACAAGGACCTCAGGCATTCAGGATGGGATCAACATTAATATACTCTTCCAGTGATGATGGCAGCCTCTAACCCCAACTTGTATTCCTTTCTTGTAAGCACTGTTTACTGTGAATTTGTCATCCTTGTTGTGCTTCCAAATAACTCTATCTGGTGCATTTGTTACTAGATTGGTTTCCCCCAATTTTCCCAAGAAAGAAGCCACCCTATCTACTTTCCAATCATTCAATAACCTTCTGAAAATTAGGTCCCAGCCTTGAGTTGTCCAGCATTCACATACTCTGGCTTCAGGATTGTTGCAGATTGAGAAAAGATCTGGGAAGGACTCACTTAGAGGAATTTGATCAATCCATCCATCTCTCAAAAACTTGATCTTGTTGCCATTTCCAACTTTGAGAAACGCATTTCTTCCATAGAGTTCCATAAAGCTCTGATTGACCCTCCATACTCCCCATCCATAGGGTTCTGACACTATCCTTGTACACACACTTTTCAATAAGTGACTGCCTGAATAATTCAAAAACAAGCCAAATCAGAACATAGAACCCTAGCCATTAAGCCCCAGGCACTACAATGACAGACAAGATCCAACCTCTACTTTAAGAAGTGGAAGTTACCTCAAGCCAACGAGGGAAACCAAAAGAACCTCTTGGACGATAATCAAACTCTTGCCCATCATCTTTAACAGTGGACTCGCCTTGGCAAATTATTTCAAAAATAGCTTTGTTTTTCCAGCTCTTATTTGTAATGCGCAAGATGGATCCATCCAAGTTTAGGAGGATTATGTTATTTGTGCAGACTATTGCTTCTGAAATTCTATTTAGAAGAGTAGGAACAGAGGAAACAGAAATATATATATATATATATATATATATATGAAAAAACATACAGAAAAAGATGGCAAAAGAAGAATAGGTGGGCAATGATTGATACACATAAATATGACAAAAGAAGAAGTGTGTGTGTGCGTGGGGGGGCAATTATTGAAAAACGAATAGAGAAATGAAGGATGAAACACCACTTCTTGGTCTTACTCTTGTATAAAGAAAAACAAAATGAACTGGAAGAAGAAGAATAAAAGCCACAGAAATATTATATGAAAAACTTACTGCAGAACTGATGAGACGACGGGACAATCTAAGCTGCAAGTGGAACGGCTATCACGATACAAAATTTTGTCACACCAGGCAGGAATCCGCTTCTTTTCACCAAAGTCATACCCTTTAAATGAGACATTATAACCATATCACACATTCAGAAGAGAGAAACATAGGAAGGACGAGAGAGCAGGTGAGAGAGGGGAGCGTTTCCATTCAGTCTAGAAAATATGAAAGTCAACTGCAGAGCTGATAGCTACAGGTACCAGCTAAGCCATTTTGATGCCTCTCAAAATTGTATGTTGGAGGAAATCTGATGACTGCTGCACGCATTCCTTGGAAGACATTCCCAACTTCCATCTCTGTATGCAACTGGTCCCTCTCTCTAAGCCAATCAAAGCTCCTTTGAGAAATAAAATCTCTTGCTTCATCATAAGAAATACCATCAAGCCGATAGTTCAGGTCACCAAGAAACACAACCATATTTGCCTCAGAAAGCTCAGGAGTTGCTTCTGCAGAGTTAAACGCACCCTGACAAGCATAATTCAATGTGTTTCTTATTCTGTACCAATTGAAATATACTGCTCCAAAGAAGGAAGCAACTATTTTAAGAAGACTATTATAGAGTAGACTATTACACTCCCTCAATCCTTTTTTAGTTGTCATGTTGCGCTTTTCAAAAGTCAATTTGACTAATTTTCAAAGTTAAATTAGATTACATTAATTTGATATTTGAACTAAAATTTACATAATCAAAAACTATACGAAAAGTACTATAAATAGCAATTTTTTGCATCAATATGATGAAAAAATACATCGTAAACTGTTCGTCAAAGTTCTTACTGTTTGACTCTTAAAAAGGGAACCATGACAACTAAAAAGGGACGGAGGGAATACAATTTAAGTAAGTACATACATTTGCACTGCGAAGCATTTGAATCGCATATGAGACACCAGCTGCAACAAGAAGTACCAATGGCAGCTGAGAACCATAAGTAACCCAGATTAAAAACATAGAGCAGGCAAGCAAGCAAGCTGAGAATAGGTATGGCACCATACCAGCTGCAGCACTGAGAAAGTTTGATGGTTGACTAAAGATCACACTTCGATTAACATGGTCAAAATCAGCATTCCGGTGACCGACAGCTTCTAGATGTGCAGCAAAGTGACAGTTCACAAAGCACACAGTACGACCATACACTCTCATCCTCAATCCTACGGCTCCCTGTTTGGAGGACCTCAACCAAAATTAATACCACAAATAAGAGAATGGTTCCATACTTGTCAAAAACACCAAAAGAATTAAGGAATGGTGATTAGTAACTCCACATTTGCATAATAAGGGTCACACAAATAAATTGTTTCAATGGAGTCTCAAGCTTATGGTAGTATTATTAGTGTTCATATGAAGAAACTTACAGTTAGAATAATTGCATTCTGATAGAATTATGCTCCTTTCTCCAGTGGATTAAAGAGCTGTAAATGTACTTGTAAATGTACTTTTGGTGGCTTTTTCTTTTTCGGCACAAGCATGACGTAGGTCTGACTCCCTATGTTGCCCATTTTTCAACAAGACGTTCCAAAAAAACCCAGGAAGAAATCATGCTTAAACCTATTTTATGACAAAAGCCTAGAAATTGTTGTAGGGCGATTCCAAGTAAGAGAGAAGTTCTAAATCATAACTTACCTAATTCTGTACTTATGTTCTAAATACAACTAGTCACCACCAAACAATTAATTTGTTCTCAACTTTCAGCATAATATAATTAGATCCATCAAGAAACAGCAAAAAGGAGAACACAACCACACCTTGTTCCAAATTGCACGCCCGAAACCACAAGGTACTGCTGCAACATCAACATCACTGATATAACAACTAATATTTCTTCTGACCCTGAATAATAGTTTTGATTGAGGACCCAATTCTTTTTTTTTTTCTGATGAAGTTAGAGGCCCCGGCTCATTAAATCTAGCTCATTATATCAATAGAATTGAGTAGCAATTGACAGTGGTACCAAGTAAGCAGAGCAATGTACTCAAAAGAATATAAAAATCACGGAGATAGCATGCATTATTCCTATTTACCAGAAAACACGCACCTATGGTTCATCTTGTATCATCGGGCGGATCTAGGTGGGTAACAAAAATTTATACTTAATACATCACATAAAAAATTTGAATCCATGAACACAAGAGTAGAGGTTGATTCAGTATTTACCTTGAGTTTACTAATTCAAATTTAAAGACTATATTTTTATAAAGTATTTTTTGAATCGGCCACAGCAAGCAGAATATAAAAACAAAACAATGAAAGCTGATCCAGAGACTTTTGAATCACAAAATTAGAAAAATAGTATGTTTAATCAACAAATTTACCGAATCATCAACGTCCAGCTGATGAATTGAGGGCGGACTCTTCTTCCCTAATTTAAGTAAAAAATTGTTGTTGGTTATGAAGGACAATAGAGCAGAAAAGATAAAATTAGCCTTTCCCTTCGTCTTCTGTTTCTTACAAGACCAATTCTCTGGTAATTCTCCATCATTCTTCCTTTTATGCGCCATCGCAACACTCGATTTCGATATTCTAGGGTTTCTATGGATATATGTAATTCACTGCTTCTTCTTTTTTTCTATTTTGATTTGGTTCGGGTCGGATTCTTTAACATTCCCAATTTGATTTGGTTTCATACTTTCTTCTTTTTATTTATTTTTTGTAAAAAAATCAATGCCATAATTCTTAGTTTATGTTTTAGGTTTTTGAAGAAAAAAATTAAACAAATGCATGCACGAAAGCTCTTTTTCTTTTTACTAAAAGTTTTTTAGATTATAATCTCTAATTTATTTAAATTGAGGTTTACCATATGTAGAATTATCCATATTAGCAACTCCATTTTTGCAAAATAATATTGCAATATTAAAGTAACATCAAGATATTTAATGCTACAAATATTATTGAATATGATGAAACTAATGCAGTTAATTTCTTACTTTATAAACTTTCTTTTTTCCTTTGAAAAAAAACAAAAAAGAAACACGTTACGTTGATTTTTCAAATGGATAATTGGCGCATCAAACATAGAACTTAGGAATTCAGGGACAATAGTAGAAGTAATTATTTTTAATAATTTCTTTTTTCTTTTTTTTTCTATTATATAGAAAAATTTGAGCCATAAAGAGATAAAATTGACTCAAATCTATCTATCTATCTATCTATCTATCTATATATATATATATATATATATATATATATAATTCTGGATAACAAAAGTCTGATGTGGCACCTCTCTTTGGCCAGGATTCCCATTTATCTTTTTTTGTAAATTTTTTAAATTCTTTTAATCTATAATATCTGCCAAAAGAAGAAAAAAAATATTTAAAATATCTTATTTATCTCTCCTCATTATTACTACAATTTATTATTTTTATCTCTCTTCACCATTACTATAACTAATTACTTATCCTTAAATTCCTCTTTTTACCTTCTATATTTTTAATTTTCTAAAAATTCTGATTTGTTTATCCTTTTTATTATTATAATTTAAAATTATAGTTTTTAATTCTACAATCTTCTAAAAATAAAATATTTTATTTATCTCTCTTTTACTTTTACTTATTACCATAAACGTTTTATTTACTATAATTATTATTTTTCCTTAAATTCCATTTTTTGTTGTAAAACAAGAGGAAAATATAATAATACTAAACAAGGAAAGACAAATGGTGATGAAAAGTATAAAGTTGAGAGCTTTATTTATTCTCTTCAAGTGTGTATTTCTTAAGGGTGAAGAAGATTCTTTTATAAGAGGTAGAAATCTTCCGTTTACTACCTTAACCAAATACGTTAGTAATCTTTAATTTTTACATTAAATTAATACATGCATTACGTTAGGTTGATGAAAAGAAACATCCATATTAAATGAATTTGTAACACTCCCCCTTGGATGTTTATAGATAATGTGCCTCGTTAAAACCTTATTAGGAAAAACCCGATGGGAAAAAGCCTAGTGAAGGAAAAAGAGTGTACATCTTGTAATACACCTTGAGTGCTGCCTCATTAAAAACCTTTCCAGGAAAGTCCAGTGGGACAAAACCTTGGCTAAGGGAAAAAGAGTACAGCGCATATTTTACTTTCCCTGATAAAAAATTTATTTGATATCTTGGAGACGACGCATTCCAATCTTGTATTTTAGCTTCTCAAATGTTGATGTTGGCAATGCCTTAGTGAATTGAAACGACCCCAAAAATGCCCGAAAATGTGCTTCGAAAACACCTATAATTGTAATTTCCATATATCTCAAAATTCGTGCATGATTTCGGAAATCCGACTTCATATTCTTATTCATGGGTCAAATTGAGTGGGAAATGGGTCTGACCCGAATTTTAGAGCAACCGTATCAAAATTCGAAAATCGCAAAAAATGCGATTTGGAGGGTCAACTTTAAAGGGGCATATCTCTTAGCACACAAGGAACTGGAAGGGTCACAATCTATTAAATTAAAGCTCTTTGAGTTAGCTTTCCAACGCACTTGGTTTCACCTCATTCCGAGTTAGGATGAGGGAGTTATGACCATTTTCGTAAAACTTGTCTGTGCAGATTTGCAATTTCCAATGAGCTTTTTTTTTAGGCGGGTTGGGGACGTTTTTTATAAAAAAGGGATATGTCCCATACTTAGTCATTTTTTTTAACTTCAAAAACACTCTCTAAGCCCTCTCCAAAATTCCACCAAGATCTTCAACCAAATTCAAACATCTCAAGCTCTAATTCCGGATTCAAGACTCAATCTCAAGCTTCAATTCTCCATTCCAATCTTCATCAAGGATTCTCCAAAGTTGAGGTATGTGGGTTGATTGTGGAAACCTTCCTTTCCACAAGTCCAACCATTTATCCTCTATTTCTACTTCAAGTTTATGGGTCCTTATGATCATTTATGAACTCTTGAATTATGGAATTACTACTACACATCCTATTATGGTCTATTTTGCATATTATCATGAAATGGAATTATTATGTGATGTTTATGGTTTTCATGCTTCCATGATCAAATTATGAAGGTTGATATATATATATGTATGTTGTTGGTGGGCTGTTTTATATGGATTTTGAAATTGGTTGGACTTAGTACTCTTGAAAAACATGATTTTATTTACATGAACAGTAGCCCACCATGTGTTTGATAAAATGCCATTTATAGAATTCATAGGAAATGGAAAACCGTATCGAGGGGTTGGTACCTTGGTTGCCTAGTACGGGGGGTAGTAGGCCCGTATAACCATATCGAGGGGTTTGTACCTTGGTCCCTAGCTCGGGAGGTGGTAGGCTCGGGTAACCACATTGAGGAGTTTGTACCTCTTTCGCCTCTCCAAAGGGGTGGTAGGCCTTGGAAATACTATATTGATGGTCACTCGCCACACATGTACTACGCCCCACTAAATATGATTTTTATGTAAAGCATCATTATACATATCATCTCATTAATATGCTATCTATCGGGTATGATTATGCATTTTGCCTATGATGTTCATCTATTGTTGCATTGCATTACATCCCATATACTTAGTACATTCAAACGTACTAATGCATACTTTATGCCTACATAATGTCACCATGTAGGAACCGGAGCATCGCTTGACCATCCTCCTCCGCGCGGCTAATACAATTTTCTATCGAGGTTATTGGTGAGTCCTCCATTCCGGGGACGTTGCTTATGATCTCTTGCTATGTATAAAACTTTTCCTTTTTTGTTATGTATTGACTATTGAGCCCGGTAGTTTGTCTTGGCCCCCGCTAAGTACCCATGTTTAGAGGTGGTGTTGGACAAGTTGTGTATTATGCTTGAGCTTGACTCATCTATGGTATTTATGTATCATTCCTTTTTTTTTGCTCCATTAGTCCCGATTTCCCCCTTGATTATGCTTATCGCTTATGATCATTTTAATTGCTTCCACGACTAAGGATGTGTAATGATACGCTATGAGACTTGTTTGGGGTTCCTTCGGGTTCCCCATTCCCCGGTCACGTCTAGGCCTTAGGCTTGGGTCGTGACAAACTTGGTATCAGAGCACTAGGTTGATAGATCCTCGGAGTCCAACACACCGCGTTGATTAGAGTCTGATTCATGGTTGTGTTGTGCACCACAACTATGAGTAGAAGGCTATGAGACGTTTTAGGTAAATGTTTCCCTTCTCCATGTTCTAAGTCGTGCTGTAGAGTTGAATTAAATTCTTCCCTAACGATTGTTCTTTGCTATGCTAGATTATGCCTAATACAAGAGGAAGACGAGCCCGCGCACCCGAGGAACAACCGACCAATGGGGATCTTCGGGATGCCCTTACTTTATTTGCACAAGCTATGGCTAATCAAGCCAACCACGGGGCCCAAGCCCCTCAGGCTCCTACCCCGGCATCTCGGGTGAGAGACTTCGTGCGGATGAATCCCCCAGAATTCTATGGGTCTAAGTTAGATGAAGACCCTCAAGAGTTTATTGATGAAGTCCTTAAGATATTAGCTATCATGGGCGTGAGGTCAGAAAATAAGGCGGAGTTGGAGCCTTCCAACTAAAAGGAGTGGCCCAAATATGGTACAACCAATGGAGGGAGAGAAGGGGGCAAACTATGTGGTGCCTTGGGAAGAGTTCAAAATGGCTTTCCTTAATCGATTCTTTCCTCTTGAGCTTAGGGAAGCCAAATTGGTGGAGTTCATGAATTTAAAACAAGGGTCTATGAGTGTGAGGGAGTATGCCCTCAAGTTTAACCAACTTTCAAGATATGCTCCACACTTGGTTGCCGACTCACGATCTAGAATGAACAAATTCGTGATGGGTGTGTTCGACCTAATGAGTGAAGAATGCCGATCCGCAATGTTGATTAGTGACATAGACTTGTCCCGCTTGATGGTCTATGCCGAACAAATGGAGGAGGAGAAGTTGAGGAAGAGGAGGGGTCATGAGGCCAAGAGGGCCCGTTTTGAGGGCAAGTTCCAAAGTCGAAGGGGAGGCCGGTTTCATCAAGGCCAATGGTCTTCTCATGCGCCCCATAGGGGGTTTGCCAACGACGTTCCAAGGGCCCAAGGTGTTGGTGGTATGGGTTCTATTGATGTATGTCCGAAGTGTGGTAAGTGTCACGTAGGCCGAAAAGGAGTAGAAAATTATATATAAAATAAGTTTGGGGGGTAATAGGACCTTAGTAAAGGTTAAGTGTGTTTCAGGGATTTGGGGCATAGACTGGGGGGTACTTATGCATTTTCCCAAATTTTAATATATTTTTAAAAATATTTTAATTTTATAAATTATAAGTATTTTAAATTACTGTATTAATTATTATGATTTATAATGCTTTTGAAGTAATTTTTCAAGTTAAATTTTAAGTATTTTAAAAATCGTCTTAATTATTATTACAATTTATAATACTTTTAAAGTAATTTTCAAATGATATATATTACTATTTCTGTCTC